CCATTTCACAGGAGAATTTACAAAACATTTAATGAAGAGCTAACCCCTGTCCTTCTGAGACTATACCAAAAAATCCAAGAAGAGAGAAGACTCCCAAATCTTTTATGAGGCCAGCATCATCCTAATCCCAAAACAAGATCAAGACACAACGAAGAAAGAACTACAGGACAATATTGCTCATGAATACAGACACTAAAATCCTAAACAAAATATTGGCAAACTGCATGTAGCAATACATTGAAAAGATCATCCACATGATCAAGTGGGATTCACCCCAGGGATGCAAAGATGGTTCAACATTCGCAAATCTATAAACATGATACATCACATAAACAAAAGGAAAGACAAGAATCACATGATCATAACAATAGATGTGGAAAAAGCATTTGATAAGGTATTGCTTCCATTTATGATAAAAACACTCAGCAGAGTGGGAATAAAGACGCCATACCTCAACATCACAAAGGCCATATATGAAAAACCTACAGCCAACCTCATACTCAATGGGCAAAAAATAAAAGCTTTCCCACTAAGATCAGGATGTCCACTTTTATACTTCTACTCAACATAGTATTGGAAGTTCTAGCCAGAGCAATTGCACAAGAAAAAGAAATAAAAGGCATCCAAAGTGGAAAGGAGGAAGTAAAACTATCATTGTTTGCAGATGACATGATAGTGTACATAGAGAACCCTATAGACTCCACCAAAGAACTATTTGACCTAATAAGTGAATCTGGCAAAACAGCAGGATACACAGTCAATATTCAGAAATCAAAGGCATTTTTGGACACCAACAATGAAATATCAGAAGCAGAAATCAAGGGAAAAAAATCCCCTTTGCTATAGCAACAAGAAAAACAAAGTACCTTGGAATAAACTTAAACAAGGAGGTAAAAGACCTGTACTCAGAAAACTACATTTAACTGAAGAAAGAAATTAAGGAAGGCACAAATAAATGGAAGCATATACCGTGTTCATGGATTGGAAGAATTAACATTATCAAAATACCCATACTACCCAAAGCAATCTATAGATTCAACACAATCCCTATTAAAGTACCAATGATGTATTTCACAGATATAGAAAACATTTCAAAAATTTATGGAATCATAAATGACCCCAAATAGCCGCAGCAATTTTGAGAAAGAAAAACAAAGTACGAGGAATCACAATACCTGACATCAGACTATATTAGAAGGCACCATAATTAAAACAGTCTGGTACTGGCATGAGAACAGACACATAGATCAATGGAACAGAATAGAGAGCCCAGAAATAAACCCATGTCTCCAAGGTCAATTAATATTCGACAAAGGGGGCAGAAGCATAAAACAGAATAAAAATAGCCTCTTCAACAAGTTGTGTTGGGAGTGCTGGAGAGCTACATGCAAAAAATTGAAATTCAACCACCAACTTGCACCATACACAAAAATAAACTCAAGATGGATAAAATACTTAAATATAAGTCGAGACACCATAAAAGTCCTAGAGGAGAACATAGGCAGGAAACTCTCAGATATTCCATCCAGCAATATTTTCACCAATATGTTCCCTAGAGTAGGAGACATAAAGGAAAGAATAAACAAATGAGACTTCATCCAAATAAGAAGTTGCACGGCTGAAGGAAACACAGGCAAAATGAAAAGGGAACCAACCATATGGGAAAATATATTTGCCAATGATACCTCAGACAGGGCTTTGATATCCAAAATACATAAAGAACTCACATGACTCCACTCCAGGAAGACAAGCAATCCAATTAAAACACGGGCAAAGGATCTGAACAGACACTTCTCCAAGGAGGACATACACATGGCCCAGAGACATATGAAAGGATGCTCAGCATCATAGCCATCAGAGAAATGCAAATTAAAACCACAATGCCATACTACTTTACAACGGTCAGAATGGCCATCATAAGCAAATCAACATACAAGTGCTGGAGAGGTTGTGGAGAAAAGGGAACCCTAGTCCACTGTTGGTGGGAATGCAGACTGGTGCAGCCACTGTGAAAACAGTTTGGAGTTTCCTCAAAAAGCTAAAAATGGAACTGCCTTTTGACTCAGCAATTCCACTGCTGAGATTATGCCCTAAGAATCCTAAAACACAACCAATTCAAAAGAACCTATGCACCCCAATGTTCATAGCAGCACAATTTACAAGAGCCAAATGCTGGAAACAACCTAAGTGTCTATCAATAAGTGAGTGGATCAAAAAACTATGGTACATTTACACAATGGAATACTACGCAGCAGAAAGAAAGAAAGGGCTACTACCCTTTGCAACAGCATGGATGGAACCAGAGAGTATTATGCTAAGTGAAATAAGCCAGGGGCTGAAAGACAAATATCATATGATTTCACTTATAAATTGAACCTAATCAACAAAACAAACAAGAAAAATATAACCAGCAACATTGAAAGTAAAAACAAACCAATAGTAATGAGAGGGAAGGATGGAGGTGGGTAACAGGGAAACAAAGGGAAAGGATCAAATCAAGGAACACTTATCAAGGACTCATGGACAAAGCCAAAGTGAGGAAGGATTGAGGGTGGGAGTTGGGGGTGGTGGGACAGGGGAAAGTGCTGGTGGGTAAATGGGGACAAATGTATTTGAACAATAAAAAATGTTAGTTTCTTTTCAAACTTATCCATACAAAAAGCCATATTCTATCTAGTATGGTCAAATGGTTCTTTATAATGAAGTTTAATCTTTTGTGCACAGAAAAAATTGTAACCCTCTCTGCATTAGTAAGCGCTTTATACTGAAAATGATGTAGCACACCCTATGTTGCATTGCAGCTTTACTCACAATAACTAAGAGGTGGAAGAAACCCAACTGTTGGATAAACCAAGTGTGGTATCTATATACAATTTTTAGGTTTAGAAAGGAAAGAAATTTTGACACATGCTACAACATGGATGAGCCTTGGGGATATTATGTTAAGTGAACTAAGCCAATAACAAAAAGACAAATACTATATGATTCCACTTCTGTGAGGTGCCTAGAGTAGTCACATTCATAGAGAAAGTGGAATGGTGGCTGCCTGGGGCGAGGGAAGGAGAAATGGGGAGTTGCTGTGTAATGGGGTAAAGAGCTTTAGTTTTGTGAGATGAAAAAGTTTTGGAGCTCTGTTGCACAACGCCATAAATATACTTAATACCACTGAACTGTACACTAAAAAATGATTAAGGTAATATGATTTATGATTTTTATCACAATTAAAAATAATAAAACTATTTATTAAATGATATAACTTGTAAGCTGTCATGATAATGCGCAGTCATCGTGCTGATTAATTATGTACTGTGTTACAGACAGAACTATGCAGTTTGATGACGAGAGGGGAATCCTCATCAAGCTTCAAGAAGTTACTCTAGAGTCTGCTTTCTTGAGTAAAAATCTGGGACTTGTTAGGACTCATCTGCTAAAGGAAAAAGGGAAACTTGGTATCTTTTGCTGTATAATATTTGCTATTACCATTGGAGAATTATAAGATGTAAAAGCTGAAACATTATAAATTACACTTTAAAGTTGAAGAAAGGGAAATACAGACTTTAATCAAATGAAATTATTTGCTTAAGATCATACATTTAGTAATATGAGAATAACTGGAAAGAAACCATCTCTAGGCTCCCTCTTGACCCTCTTCTTGTACAATGGACTGAGCTCTCTAGAATTCACTTCTGAACTTCACTGTTCAAAATGCTGCCACCATTTTGGGCAGCAGGTGTATTAATCTGGTATTCTAAAACCCTGGATTTAAGGCCCCAGCACATTTCTATTATGCCCTCCTCCAACTCTTCCCCCCAAAACATATATGCACATTTATAAGACTTTGTTAATATCAACAAGCATAAAGTTTAAAGGACATCCATAACTTTCTAAACAAAACAAATACTTGGGTCCAATGGAGGTAACATCCTTTCTAATCCTTTACTATTTTTTATTTCAATCCTAATTGATGTACACATAAATTAACATGTTAGTTTTAAACCAAAAATGACTCAACCACAGAAACCCATCCCATTTCTTTACATCTGGAACCATATTTTCCTAGTACTTAGCCTGTGAGGCTTCAGACCACAGCAACCTCAAGTCCATCTGGCAATCTGTCCTCAACCTTCCTTCTCCAGGCTCGTTTTTTCTTTCTAATGCCCCTATATTACAAAGAAAGGTCTACCAGCAGGTCTAACCCGCCAGCAACTTTTCACAAGCAAAAACAGAGAGATTTTAGTCACAAAGTAAAACCTATATGGACTTCATTCTCCCAACTGAGCTACCAACCAGCAGTTAGTGGGTGACACATGAATTTAAAGATAGACCCTCTCTCAGTAATGACCTTCTATACCCTGAGATTTTCAGAATTCCGTCTAATTCAAGGTGTGGACAACATTAGCAGTGATAGTTTGGTAATTAGTCCAGTAGTCAATTTCACATTTTCAAGCAATAGTGACCAGTGATCATGGACCCTAAATTATTCAAATGCAAGCGTTTACTACTGTCTCAGACACATGGAAGCAGTCCATTTTAAATTATTCTCTGCTTACACCCATTTATTCTCATGTAACTGATGATTCACCAATTAATCTAATCTAGCGTAAAACTGATAGCAAAAGCAATTATGGCACTATTGGTTATTAATGGTAAAACAGGAATAAGACACGCACAAGATGCACTAATGAATGAATATATTTTATATAATAATACATATCCTGAAATATATTCAGATGCTATTTTGTAATCCTTTGCCATATATGATGTGTCAATTGATGAGATTTAAGAAAGATTCCTCTCTATATATTCTGGTTTGAATTTTTTTTCAGTATAGAATATTTACTATATTAAATATAGATTATCACCAGAAAAACAAAAATATTTATTTTTATAACAGGTATATAAAATAAGTCTAATTCAGTAATTTATTCAGGAATTATTACAAATAATCTTTATAATACTAAAAAAACTGAAATCAGGTAACCAAAAATAAAAACACTTACCTATTAGGATGGCTCAAATTAAAAAAAACTGACAATATTAAGTGCTGACAATGATATGGAACAACTGGAACTCTCGTACATTGCTGGTGGGGATACAAATGAGGGGATACGAATGTTTATAGCAGATCTGTTCATAATCACCAAAAATTGTAAAGAATCCAAATGTCTTTCAACAGTGACTGGATACACAAACTATAGTACACCCGCAAGATGAAATACCATTTGGGATAAGAAAGGATACACACACAATGAATCTCAAAGATGTCTGAGTGAGAAAAGGTCTCAAAGGTTCCATACTACATAATTTTATTTATGTGACATCTGGAAATGGCAAAACTTATAAAGATAAAAACCAGGTCAAGGGTGATCAAGATTAGGGATAGAGAGAGGATATAACTGTAAGGGGACAAAATGAGGGAGAGCTTGTTATGTTTTATTTTCTGGGATATAGAACTACTCTATCAGGACTGTAATAAGGGTTACATCAATCAATTTTAAACTCATAAAATTATATGACAAAAACGTCAATTTTACTTTATATAAATTCAAATAGTAATAATGAAAGAACGAGAGCATGCAAATATTCCAAAATGCTGAGTTAAAAATAAAAGGTAGACCTTCACTGGTGTGGCTCAGTGGCTGGGTTGTTGGTTTGATTCTTGGTCAGGGCAGATGCTTGGGTTTTGGGCCAGGTCCCCCAATCCTGCACCCTGTTAGGGGTGTATGAGAAGCAACTAATCAATATTTCTCTCGCACACTGATGTTTCTCTCCTTCTTTCTCCCTCCCTTCCTGTCTCTCCAAAAATAAATAAATAAAATCTTTAAAAATAAGGTAAAAGTATCAATTATTATTTAAAAGACACTTAGGAAATGTATAAACCAAATACAATGAATGGGCTTTGTTTTGATCCTGATTTGAACACAGACTTTTTTAGACAACTAGGTAAATTTGAAAACAATACTTAATGACATTAATGGTATTTTGTTCCTTGTTAGGTAGGATTGCAGTTATGTAAAAATTAAACTTGTAAACAAAATTCACACAAAAACATCTAGGGGTGGAATGATATGATTTCTGGCATTTGCTTCGAAATTCTTCAGAAGTGAGCAAACAAACAAAAATTCCAAAAAAGAAAAAAATAAGGGGAGGGAGGGGGAGAAAGGCAAAGAAAAGAAGTATAGCAAAACCAGAATGGCGCATGGATTTCTGATGCCATGCTGGTGGATCAGGGTTTATTGTGCTTTTAAGTATGGTTGCAAATGTTTATAATAATGCTGAGAGAAAAAAACCCAGCAACTTTGTCTTCATAAATACTCCCAAGAATGCCATCTAACTGTTTTTTATTCAATTATAAGATACATTAATTCTGCCTCATGGTTTTCATTAGGCTTTTATAATCTGCATCCAACTTTACAGAAAACCAAATCAAGGGAGAAAGAGTAATTCAAAACTGGCAGTTGTGATTCTACTCAAAAATAATGGCTTAAAGAATGCCTTTCAAATCTCATCTAATGCTCATAAATTAGTAAAACCATCATGACATGTAGAAATATTAATAATTTTCATTAACTTATCTGCTGCATACTCCTGTAAGTACAGATGGTAACAACAGAAAGAGATAAATGCTCAGAAAGTCTAAAGGCAGATAAAGTAATCTGAACAAATGGACAAGAAAGCTGCATAATATGAGAAGTATCTCTCTAATTTACTCTGGCATAACTCAAAATGTGAGAGTTCTACAAAAACACTCCCAACTAACTGGAAATGAGCTCTGACTGGCTGCCTGTTATATGGAAGGCACTACTGGGGAATCCAAATGAGGAAGCCCTGGCTCTCATCTAATTGGCATTAATAGGTGAGAAAATACTAAAACTCTTACTATGATTTTGGCTTAAAATAGTCCAATACCATTTAATGCTAGTGTGCAAAAACAATTAACACAGGTAAAAACAACAGAAAAAACTAAAAAGTAAACTAGCTGCAGCAGCAAGAGCCCCACCAGGGTGCAGGGGCATGTGTGACCTGTGGGGAGGATGGGGGCGTAAGGGGTGAATCAGCGCTTTTTGACAGCCCCTCAGTTGAGGTCTGAAGAGCTGGTGGTATTTCATATGTGGAGACAACAACTCCTGTCACTCAGAAGTCTCTCTTATTGATATTGAGAAAGGAGGGTTCCAAAGGGTGGAAGAGCAGTGGAAACAGGCTCTGAGCCTCTTTAGCACCTGGTCCTAACGATCTGACTGCCCCAAACATCTAGAAAGCTGCCCTGATCCTGCAGCAGCTATTGCATTACAAGGCGAGGTGACTGAGTAAAGCCCTCTCCCTCCCCAAAGAGGCCTGTGTCCTAATCCCCAGAATTTGTGAACTGTTACCTTGCGGAGCACAAGGGACTTTTGTGATTAAAATTAATGGCTTTGAGATGCAGAAATGATCCTGGATTACCCAAATGGGCTCAAATCTAACCACCTGAGTCCTTTAGAGTGAAGAAGCTTTCTTGGCTCAGGGCAGAGAGAGAGCTGGGACCACACTGGAGGGGTCCAAAGGATGCAATGTGGCTATTTTTCAAGGCAGAGGGAAGGAGCCAATGAGCCAAGGAATATGGGGTAGAAAACTTGAGAAAAGACAGTCTCCTCTAGGGCTTTGAGGTGGGGACACAGCCCCGCTGATTCCTTCATTTCATTCAGCTGGTGAGATCCAGCAGCATTAGGAACCTAATACAAAATCAGTGCGTTTCTCCCAGTTGTTAGGCCTTTGCCTGTGCCCTTTTCTCTGCTTCCCCCAATGAAGACCACTTCCATTCAATTAAAAGATGTGATCTGCCAAATCTCACATCCCCAGAACCCACTTAACCAACTCACCCTACTCCATATATTCGCTTAGTACCAACACCTCTCAATTTAGTCCTTGCCATTTGCAATTATTCTCTTCTTTAAAGTTTACACTTATTATTTATTAAATGCCAAGCACGATGTAAAGAATTTTTCATGGGTTTTCTCATTCAATTCTCCCAAAAACCCTATCAGGTAGACATGTTATGTCCATTTTTTAAACTGAAAAGTTCAAAATCACCCTGCTAGTAAATGCAGGATCCAGGATCTGAAGGTAGGCAAACTGACCAAGGAGTTAGTCCCCGAAACTGTGACGCTATCTGTCTCCTAAGTGAGAAATTTAAGTTCCAAGATTTTGTACATTTATTAACACAATACTCCCACTGTTTAGCACAGAGACTATTAATAGTTGCTGAATATCAACCTATAGTGCAAAGATAGATTTTCCTCCTACTATTCTTTTTTTTAAAGAAAACTTTATTATGAGAAGTTAAAATACATACAGAAATAGAGTAATGATATAATGATTCCCTAAACACTCATTCACCAATTTCAATACATTAAAGTAGGGCCTATCTTAATGCTAATATTTAATCAATTTAATTTATATTATCTGGTAGAAACAGCCCCCTTCACTATTATTCTTTTTCGGAATCACATGTTCTTAGTTCTTAGCACATGTTTATTTATCTGTGCTAACACAAATTTTTAAAAGAATAACCTTGAAATGGTTATTATCTTTCCAAGCAAAACACAAAGCAAGGAAACTATAAAGGGGAGACTGATTTTTCTTCCCCTAGATAAAATTAAATTTTTCTTCAGTGCATAAGTACCATAAACAAAGTTAAAAAATGGGAAAAACATAGTTGTAACATACTATATAACAAAACATTAGCACCTTCAGTGTATAAAGAATTCTTACAAATCAATGAGAAAAGGACCACAACCCAAAGGCATGTTTTCTGGAAAAGTGGGTACAGAGATGAATAGTTTCCCCTACTGTTCTTAGGTGACAAAAAAACAAGGACTCTCATCTTACTGTGTTTTTCAACATACTTTCTCTAGTGCTGTAGAATTTAGGAGCAAGAAACACTGTATAACAGAAGGAAAAACAATTCTCACCTGTAATTAACCTTGTTCAAAACTGTGTGGCCCTGGAATCCAGTACCACAGTAAGTCTGAGAGTATGAAAAGCTTTTGGCTTCAGAATCCTTCCAGGACACCAGGACAAGTACTACCACCTTATAGCATGACCAGAAGCCTATGGACCAGGCAGGTGTCCAGTTCTCAGTCCTGTTGCAGGTTAAGATTAAGAAAAGGTGAGTAAAGAAGGTTGAGAGTTTATGTAACAGAGGGCTTCAAAACAAAAACAAATCATCCAGCCCCTGGTGGAAGACATCTTAGCCCTTGGATGCGGGCCTACGGGAATGTAGTTCCATTCAGTGAGAAAATGTAGTCTGCGGGCCTGAGGGACCACAGGGTGCCTTGAAGGAAGTTAAGTTCCCAGTGACCTAGCAGAAGGGTTCAAAGTTCTCAAACTCCTTGAGAAACAGAAACTATATTCTCTCTTCAAGAAAGGAAAATAAGATGAGAAAGGAAAAACTGTATTCTCAATCACCAGACAAAGACTATTTTAGGAAAAAAATGAGATTCCTGGATGAGGGTCTCCTAGTCTTTTAAGATCTTAAATTTATACTTCAAAAAAGTTTGAATCACATCTGCCCTAAATGTTGAATCTGAACTTAGGCCTTCAGCTCTATCTTTCAAATAACAAAAATATAGGGGATAGAGGAGCAAGTTAAACCATACTATATAAAAAGGTAAATTCAGAATGTGAGGCATCTATAGACAACCAAGTGACACCAATAAATCATTGGCATTAAAGAAACACGTAAGTACTGCTTTATGCCCTGGTTGGTGTGGCTCAGTGGACTGAGCACCAGCCTGGGAACCAAAGGGTCACTGGTTCAATTTCCAGTCAGGGTACATGCCTGGGTTGCAGTCCAGGTCCCCCATAGGGGGCACACAAGGGGCAATCACATCGAGGTTTCTCTCTTTCTCCTTCCATTCCCCTTTCTCTAAAAATAAAAATAAAATCTTGGAGGGAAAAAAAAAAACCCCACATAGGTACTGCTTTAGACAATGGTAGGCAAACTGTGGCCCAGCCCACCAGCGAAATTTTAAACAAATAGCTGTGAAAACAAAATTTTATTGGAATACAGCCATGATAATTCATTTACATATCATCTATGGTTAACTT